GCAAGGCCGGACATAATGCAAGGACCTGTCAGGTAGTTATTGAGATATCTGGGGAAGAGTATAGCGAATAGTTTTAATTAATTAGCTAGTTTGTGGTGGTTTTATACCAATATAAAGCCAAATGGTTGAGATTTCTGGTCAGCATACTTGTCCGGTCAGCATGCCTATCAACCACGTTAATAAGAATTAATTAATTTATTAGTTATAAATTAATTAAAGTACTTTAGCTACTTAAGACCTAGCTTATTATTTATTTACTTATTTTAACTTATTATAATAATTTAATTAGATAAGAGGTTATTTTCTTAGTATTAATTAGTAAGGTAATATTAGCTTAAACTAATAATAAATAGTATAATTACTTAGCCTTTTATATTAATTACTTAAATTATTATAATTTATTTCTAATTTCTAAGCTATATTAATTTTAATCTTTTTTGCCTTTTTAAGCCTATAATTACAATTCTAGCCATTATAAGGCCTATTATAAAGTCAGTTTTATTAAAGTTTTAAATATTATCTAATTAAATATTATACTTTATAATTATATTTTATATAATATAGTTAATAAGTATACGCCATAGATAAGTATATATTATATTTTTCCCTTTTATATTTAACTTTTTATTTAATTAATTAGTTTATAACTACTAAATATATTAAAACCTTTAGATAAAGCTAAAACCCTTCTTACCCTTTAGGCCTTTTAAAATAACCTAAAATTAAATACCTAATATGCTACTAAGATATATAAGATTAATAAGCACTGCCTATATTACTAATAGTAAGGCATTTAATTATAAAGTGATTTTATCCTTAAATTATAGAAATTATCTAATTTAGAGGAATAAATAATAATCTAATTTATCTTTAATCTAAATTTATAAGGATTTCCCTTATAATTATATTTTATAGAAGAAATAGCTAATTCTCTGCTTATAGATTATAATATATTACCTATTAATAAGCGCTAAGCTTATAACTTTATAATATAATAATTAAAGCTAAAAATATATTTATTTTAAGAATATAACTATTAGAGAGTTAAATATAAAGATTTAATTATTATTTACAGCTAGTTTTAGCTTATATAGAATATAATTATAAAGTATAGTATTTAATTAGATAATATCTAGAACTTTAATAAGACTAGCTTTATAATAGGCCTTATTATGGCCAGAATGGCTATTATAGGTTTAGAAATATAAGAAAGGCTAAAATTAATATAGCCTAGAAACCAGGAATAAATTACTATAATCTAGGCGATTAATATAAAAGGTTAATTAATTATATTATTTATTATTAATATAGGCTAATATTACCCTATAAATTAATACTAAGAATATATCTTTCTATTAGATTAGGTTATTATAATAAGCTAAAATAGGTAAATAAATAATAAGCTAGGTCTTAAGTAATTAAAGCACTTTAATTAATTTATAATTAAATAATTAAATACTTAGTATTATTTTTTAATCCTTAATAGTTATAAAAGCTACTACTTAGCTGATTTTAAGAGATATTATAAGGAGAATAAGATTATTATACTTTATATACCTACTTATATATCTTATTTATTTTAGCCTCTTAATATTAGGTGCTTTATAGTACTAAAAAAGGCTTATAGTTAAGAAATAAAGTATTTAATTAGATATTTTATAACTTATATTTTTAAGATTAAGTTTTTTTTTACCTTTTATATTATATTTAAAGTTACTTTTATAGAAAGTAATATCTAGGAGGGTTTTAAAGGAGCTAGGCTTATTTTTCTTAACCTAGAAATTATAATCTTAAAGCTTAATATATAGCTATAGACCCTAATACCTCCTAAGAAGGCTACTTAACTATTAATACTATAGGCTTTAAAGACCCTAAAGATAGTTATTAAGACCTAATCTTAATCTAAATACCTTAATAATTAAATTAGATACTATTATAATAGCTTCCTAGAGTTAATATTAGGAGCCTTAAAGTCTCTTATAAAAGGAGTAATAGCTATAATATATAAGAATATACTATTAAGAGCTAAGGTCTAAAATCTTTAAGATATAAATAAGATACTAAGTTAGCACTATAAGGTAAAAAGGACTAAACTATAGAAAGGAGGGATTATAACTATATAAGAAGTATTATAAGTAATTAATTAGATAGATATTAATATATAGGTAGTAGCTAAATTATTAAGAAATAGTAATTAAGGAAGGTTAAAGTAATTAGATAATTAATATTATAGTATATATAGTAAAGGCGGTTATAATATAAGGACTTATTAGGTAGTTTTTAAGTTATTTAGAGAGGAATTTAGTAAGTAAAAGCTAGCCTTTTTAAACTATAGCTTAAGCTTTTAAGCTATAGGTTAAAAAGGTTAAGGAAAGTGCAGTATATACTTATCTGCAGCATATACTTATTAACCACGTTAAGCTTAAACTAGCTATAAATAATAGTTAAATCTTTATATTTAGCTCTCTAGTAATTATATCTCTAAAAAATATATATCTTTAGCTTTAATTATTATTTAATAAAGTTATAAGCCTAGTACTTACTAATAGGTAGCTTATTATAATCTATAAGCAGGGAATTAGCTATTTCTTTTATAAAATATAATTATAAAGAGAATCCTTATAAATCTAGGTTAAGAATAAGTTAAATTATAATTTATTCCTTTAAATTAAATAGTTTCTAAGAATTTAGGATAAAATTATATTATACTTATATACTATTATAGTAGTATTATTATATATAGTAATATATCTTATATATAGTTACTGCCTATTATATACTTAGTTTTAGATTATTTTAAAGGGCCTAAAGGGTAAGGAGGATTCTAGCTTTATTTAAAGACTATAATATACTAGGTGGTTAAAAATTAATTAATTAGATGGTTTAAATATAAGGTGAGGGATTTTTGGGTTACTTGCTTAACTAGGTTACTTGCTTATTAACCACGTTATATTACCTACTTCTTCTTAAGAGCCAAACTTGCCGCAGTAACAAACTTCTGTCCATAAAGGAAAAGATCAGGATAATGCACCGGGAAGCTAGATTGCAGGGCGACGGTCATGTTCATCTTGGGTATGACATAGATGGCCTGATCATACGTTCCAAGCGCCGCGAAGCCACAATCATCGCCGAGCTGGTACTCCTTGCCTCCGCGCGGCATCGTCCACCAGCCAGTCTGATACCCCGAGGCTGGGACGACGGCGATGGCACCCGGAGCACGGACGCCCTTGCTTGTATTAGCGGCACCGATAGCGTCGAACCAGCCGTTTGGAACGGCGGGACCCCCTCGATCATTGAAATTGTCCAGAACGAAAAGGCCGAAGCGGGCCATATCCTGCAGAGTCATGGCAAAGCCTCCATGGCCATCGACTTGGTGTGCGGCTGTTGTTCGCATATAGCCATCATAATTCATGCCTGCTGGGTCCCAGATGTATTTGGCAATCCAGTCTTGGACGGGCTCCCCGATGGCGCGCTGCAGGGCCAGCGTAATGACGTAGTAGTTCGTGTCGTAATATTGGAACACCTTGCCAGGCTCAGCGACCTTGGTGTAGTTTTTCAGGTAGTCAGTGACAGCGTGTGGATCAGTTCGCCAGTAGACGTCGGCGAAGAGATCTGGAGCACTCGGCCCGCTTGGCTCGGCAACACCTGCTGTCATGTCGGAAAGATCTCTGAGAGACACGGCCCCATAGGGAGCTCTTGCAAGCTCTGGGATGTACTTGGATGCCTTGTCGTCCAGACGGACGATACCCTTGCGAATGGCCACTGCCAGAGCTGTGCTTACGAAAGACTTGGTGACCGACTGGACCACGTTCTTGAAAGATGGAGCATTTCCATACTGGTATCTCTCCAGCCTGACAGCACCGTCTTTGACGATCATGACACCAGAGATACCGAAGTGGTACATGAAGGAGTCCACGCTATGGAGAGAACCGTTGGCCTTTGTGGTGAATTCGATCTCCTTCCCCTTGCCCTTGGCCAGTTGTCGCAGCTTGGAGCCATGGCGAACCTGAGTAGTGCGATTTGGCAACAACTCTCCCTCCTGACGAGTGAGGAACGCAGAGTTGCGGGGATCACTGCTATTGAGGCTAGAGATATTGAAAGTTCCGATATGGGCTTGGTTGACGTAAGGATTGACGGTTGGTTCCTCAGCAGACAAGGCCGAAGAAGCCATAGAAAGAAGAGACAATACTTGCACAGCCCGCATGATGAACTCGTTGGATCTGTTTCGACTTTGGTTGTTGGTGAATGGCCAAACACTTACCGGAACAGACCACGATATTTATGATATCAGCCAGTGGAGGTGAATATCAGATATGGACTGGAGAAAGGCTGTCATAATCACCAGGGGGTGAGACTGCGAACACCCAGCTATCAATGATAAGCCACATCATTCTCATGAAATGAGGTCTAGTGCCAAGAGTCGCTTATGCCTGCCAAGCCCAAGATTGCGGGGGAACTTCAGTTAGTGGAGTAAAAAAAGAAACAGCGACGTTCCGACAATCCAGACCGATTTTCTTACGCTTATCTATCTCTCTTCTCCACGAAGCTTATCTGGTGCACGCTCTTATCTATCTAGTGCACGTGCCTGTTACATACGTTAGCGGAGATAAGATGATTTCTTTGTTTTGAAAAGAAATACACCAATGAAGAAAGAGGGGGCTATACATCAGCACAGTTTTACTCCATGTTATTTAAGACACTTATAAGACTTAATCGACCTGGTTTTATTATAAATCTCTTAAGGGTCTAAAAAAAGGAGGAAAAAAAGAATATCACTGCAACCTTAAAAGACACTTTTCCCTGCTGCTCATCTTATTTATCTATCACCATCCAAGTCATTTGGAGACAGGCAGGGTCTAGAATGCCTGGCTTGGTAGAAAGTGCAAGCCAGCTCGGCGTTTCCCGCTAAGAACTAACCATGGTTGGGGTGAGGGGTTCACTAGTCTTGGGGCTTTTAAAAGCACAGGGAGTATACACTACGGAACCCACGGCTACAGATAAGCTGTCATGTCATTCTTCGACTGATAGAAGTTGAATAATAGCCCCAAAACCAAACCAAGTATTTAGAGCTACTCTCCGAGCTTCATATCCTACTTCGACTTATCATTCGGAGCAACATATGCAATAAGCCAAGTCACAGCGGTATTCATCCTCAACATGGATAATCATCTCCAAACCATGGACACGGCAACGACAACACACATCCCGCAGATCTTTTCCACTCTGTCGGCGGTGGCCATGGCGTTTTCCATCACAAACACCTGGATTGGCTACTCAGCGACGTTTGTCCCGCCGCTGTTGGCTGGAGGCGGTCCAGCTGTCGTCTTTGCTCTTGTCCTCGCTTGCGTCGCGTGTACTATCATCGCCCTTGGCTTGGCGGAGCTGTCGTCTGCCTTTCCTTCGTCTGGTGGCCAGTACCAGTGAGACCATATCTTGCGTTGCCCTTTGAGAGCAGCCGACTGACCGTGGAGAATAGTTATGCTGCCATGGTCTCCAATGAACGATATCGCAACCCTATTGCCTTCGCGGTGGGCTGGATAAGCATCTTAGGTAGGTAACCTTCAACGGCTCTTAGTTTGATGCATGCATGCGTTGCCGGTGTCTCAAGACTAACATTGCATAGGTTGGCTCTTCACAACAGCCAGCACCACTATATTCTGCTCTCAGACATGTCTCATGATTGCGTCATTCTATCACCCTTCCTTTGTCTGGAAGGCATGGCAGGTCTGGCTGATATACGTTCTCATCACCGTAATCTCTTGCCTTATTATCGTTTTTCTCGCTCGTTTCATTCCTGCGGCTGAGAAGATATTTCTATTCTCATCCCTTCTCGGCCTTGCCGTCGCCTTCATCACTATCCTTGCGACAAGCGAGCACAAACAACCTCCCAAGCTGGTATTCGCCGATTGGGTGAATGTCACAGGCTGGCCAGATGGATTGGCCTTTCTTCTGGCAACTGGCCAAGCTATGTATGGATTTCTTGGATTGGATGGCGCAACACACATTGCAGAAGAGCTACCGAATCCAGAACGCACCGTTCCGCGGGTCATAGTGATGATAATGGTGATCGGAACCGTTACGAGCATTCCATGGACTATCGCCATGCTGTTCAGCACAAACGATTTGGACAAGGTTGCCTCATCAGCACTCCCAATCTTTGAAGTCTTCCTTCAGGCTATCAACTCCAAGGCGGCAGCCACGTTCTTCACCGTTTGGATCTGCTTCATCTACTATGGCGCCATGGTCAGTTGTTTCGTCACGTCAGGTCGTCTCATCTGGGCCTTTTCTCGTGACGGAGGTCTCCCGTACTCGCGCACCTTTGCCAAGATTCATCGCACCCTCCAGGCGCCTGTCAACGCCACGCTCTTGGCTGGTGCTTTCCTCATCATCTTCGGTCTTCTGTACGTTGCCTCTACTACCGCGTATAACAGCATCGTCGGTCTGGCCATAATGTCTACAAATATCACCTGCGCCATTCCGCAGGCCATTCTACTGATCCGTGGCCGGAATATTCTACCTTCGCGGTACTTTGACTTGGGACGGATCGGGGGGACTTTTTGCAATGCATTCTCTACGTTGTATGCGATCCTATACGTCGTCCTGTTCTGTTTCCCACTATCGCTCCCTGTCGAAGCCGACTCAATGAACTATCTTGCCGCTGTGTTGGTGGCTGCTTTCGTTTTTATTTGCATTCTTTGGTTCGGATGGAAGCGACATACATTCCACGGTCCTACCCTTGACAGCGAAGGTATTATAATAGAGGAGGATAGAGCTAGTGGTAAGAAGGACTCTAGGAACTCTCATGAAAATATGGCCTGAGAAAATGGAGCAAGAGCTAAGAGTTTGAGAATGAGGAAAAATTGGGACATGTAATTTTGAGAATGTAAAATTAGTCTTGTCAATGTAATCCGCGTTCACTTGCATCAAGGATACTTCTTAACAGTCAAAGGATAAACCAAGAAACAGATTCGGAGCCATTGTTCAACACCGGACAGATATCACAGACCCCAGTGAAGAATAGATGAGAGCTTGCATTTTGTCTATTCTGAACATCTTTGTGATGACACATTAAGGTTTCAACAACACCTTGTGGACTTTTCTCTGGCTGAATGTCTCATAGGCCTGCGCAGCGTCCTCGAGGCTAACAGTATAAGCGCAAAGAAATGAAACCTTGTCCTGTACCTCAGCCAAGCAGGATAGAGCATCCTCAAAGATTCCCCGAACTGGACATCTACCCCAAGATATTGTGACATTCTTTCCGTACAAGGTGGGACCATCCAGAGACAGTGTCTGCGTTTGCAGACCAACACTGCTAATTTGACCGAACGGCCGGACCATGTCCAGGCACAGCTGGAGGGAGTCGGTCGTACCGACAACCTCCAGGGCGATATCTACACCCCTACCCTCAGTAGCCTTCTTGACCACAGCCACAGGGTCGTCAGTTATGAGAAGGGGCTTGGCGCCGAGTTTCTCTGCCTCGGCGAGGCGTTCTGGGACGAGATCAAGAGCGTAAACCGTATCAGACATGGTCAAAGCGGTGGCGATGGCGCAAATACCAACAGGACCGCAACCCACCACAGCTACGACACTGCTTTTGGCTTCCTCCTTGCTCAGTTGCTTGAGAAAGCGGGTAGCGCAAAAGTAACCTGTTGGGAAGATATCGCCCATGAGAACCAGAAGATGCTCTGGAATCTGGGGAGGAGCCTTGATCAAGGTTGAGTCGGCCTGGGGAACCCTGACAAACTCGGCCTGTCCGCCGTCTATACTGGTAGTGCCAGCACTATTACCTACCGGTTGAGAGAGCCCAAGTTAGTAAGCTGAGCGATCAAACATGGACAAATCCGCTGCTATCAGGTGGAAATGATCAGACTTACCAAACAAGAAGCTGTTAGAACAGCGGCTAGTCTGTTTCTTGAGACAGTAAAAGCACTTTCCGCATTGCGTAGAGAAGGTAGCCTGACGTTGCCATGTTAGCCGAGTTCACGAGAGGCTCACCCTATATGAGGTTGATGACCTACCACTACAACATCGCCGGTATCAACAGTGCGGACTTGGCTGCCCTTCTGCTCAACGACGCCAATGAATTCATGGCCAGGAATAAACCCAGTCGGAATTGTCTGATGGCCTCGATACCAGTGCAGGTCGCTGCCGCACAAGGCAGAGACTTTGACCTTGAGTATGACATCGGTCGGATGAAGGATCTCGGGCTTAGGACGATCCTCAACAGCCACCTGCCCAACGCCTTTGAAGACCACTGCGCGCATTGTGTCTATTCTATCAGAGTATGTATGGGTGGAGAACGAGCTGGGGGTGACGCAGGTAAGGATGTTTATCCACGCTAACACAGCTGTGGAGATTTCAGGCTTCTTTTATTGCCACATACGACCGTGAATGTTTTTATCTCCAACCCGGGGAGTAATTATTGCCAAGAACTAGCTGTGGAGGTGGCAAATATTAGCGGATTCACAAGCCCGGTTAGTTCCCGTCTTCATCTTTGTGGGGTAGGTAATATTCCCCTCATGTGTATGACAATGAGCACCGGATTATCTATCAGGTTGAGCAATTGACAGATCAGCGATTACGCCAAAAAAGATAGTCAAGTTTCTTATCAACTACGGAACATGATTCTTTTCATGCAGATGAGAGAACTCTGTATCAGCACTTGACGTGCAACCAGTCAGTCTTTGTCTAACAATCAAGCCGTAAGCCCAGCATTTTGGCCTTACATCATGAGTGCACTGAAGCAGTGAATCCCTCTCCTCAGTTCAAATTACAGACGCTTCTTCTTTTTATAACTTGCCCAATGTTCGCTTGTCCTTCTTCAAGAGTTGCTGAACAAACAATTAATCTATTGGCCCCGTCATCCTCATCCCAGGTCTAAGGCTACGCGTATCACTGTATACATCACATTGTCTCTTTGCGACATTGCCGGCTTAAAACTTTGATCACGAATTTCTATCAAGATACTGAATTCACTGACCGAGCTTGACCTGGGTTGAGCAGGTGCAGTTTGGATTGACAGCAACCGCTGCTGCTGCGTGTATAAACGGGGATCAGAGTGAATTGAAGCTGCTAATGGTTCGGATTACTTGTCTACACTATAGGCTTCCTGTACTCGATCCAATCTCCTAAATGTATCTGACCATGCTCCGTATCAGTCATGAACCAAACTCAATCTATCCGTTTTTGCCAAATTTGTCGGGATGATTGTCCGCTGTGCCCAGTTCAGATACCCATCCCTCTTGTCGTTATTTCTCCATTTGCTGTCAACCAGGTAAGTAAGATAGTCACTTAAGTGGGATATAGGTTATCAGGACTTACTACCACCAGTACTCATCCCCTGGTTGTTCCTTGTATAGCGCATCTGCCTGTCCACTCTGGATCTTGTCGACATAATCGGGGTTGTAGAGGAGCGGTCTGCCAATGACTGCAGCGTCGATGTACCCCTTTCCAATCCACTCATCAGCCTCCTCTGGCGTAAAGCCTGTGTTACCAAATAGCAAGGTTTTGGACAAAATTGGCCTTAACGCTGCAATGGGGTCCCACTGAACGCCTCGTGGCTTGCCATCAATCATCAAGTCGTAAGACTCCCACCATCGCATGACTTGAACATAGGCGAGACCAAGCTTGTTGAGCTCGGTGCAGAACCCAGCGTAGGTTTCGAAGGCGATCTCAGGCGAGGGGTTTCCTTGTGCGTCCAGCTCACCCATGTCGTTGTAGCCACCGCAGGGAGCAATCTTGACGCCGATTCTGTTATAAGGGAAGTGCTCGTTCATCTTGGCCAGACAAGCAAGGGAGAAGCGCATTCTGTTCTCCAGAGAGCCTCCCCACTCATCTGTACGACGGTTGCTGTGTGATTCTAGAAATTGCATGGGTAAGTAACCGTTGGCGTTGTGGATTTCAACACCGTCGAAGCCGGCCTCCTTAGCTAGCCGTGAGGCATTACTATATAGCTCTATAATAGCTCTTGGGTCTGGAATCTCAGTAGGCACAACGTAGCCGGGAGCTCCTGGCACATTGCGAAACTTGCCACCTCTGGCAGCAACTGCCGATGGGCCTGGCACAGGCTGGCCAAACTCCCGTTGGACTCGGGTCTCGGGGTGTGCTACTCGGCCTACGTGATGGAGTTGGCAGAAGATGAGTCCCCCCTTGGCATGCACGGCTTCTGTCACCTTCTTCCAGCCTTCAACGTGTTCTTGGGAATAGATGCCTGGCATGAAGGTCCATTCAACACCTTGCGGGCAGATCAGTGCTGCCTCAGAGAGCTAGGCAAGATATCAGCAATTGTCACGCTAACGTGGATATTGGCGACTTACGATAAGGCCGGTACCGGCTCTCTCGGCATAGTACGGAACATGCAAGTTTTCCCGGGGAACACTATCTCTGTTTCGTGTCAGAGACGCCATAACGACCCGGTTTTTGAGCTGCAGATCGCCCATCTGCAGGGGCTGCAGTAGATGCCGGAACTGGCCAGACATGATGATACAGTAGCGCAACGACAACCGTGGTCGACTCGATGAAAGTTGAAAATGCGTCGAATTTCACTTCTGCACAGCGACACAAATACTGGCCGGATTAATCAGTTGCTGATTACTAGGTGTAGAATAAACTCTCCAAATTCCCACCAGCTCCACTGTTTTATTTGTCAGCGGGCAGAATATCTTCCCCAGCCTTGGTCTGGTATGCGGGTAGACAGGTGGAGGCTAAAAGAAAAGGGTAAAAAAGAACAAAGAGCTCACAGTACTTGAGCAACATTTCAGTCAACCGGGATTCGCACGAAATCAACCTCTCGAATGAACAACACGAGAAAATAAATGTGCTCACCATGCTTTCACTAAGTTATCAATCTCTGGAGGATTTCACTGGCCTCCCTCGTGTTAGGGAAGCAGTAGCGCGTGGTGAGACGGGGCTCTTGGTTCATGGACTTCCGCCATTTGTGCGAGACTTACCTCTTGATGATATTGTATGTAAGAGGCTAAATATCACAAGACAAGCCTAACAGTTAAAATTCTATAGCCCCACGACTACCAAGCCCAAAAGAACAATGACGCCAATCCACTGGCGGTCGTCGTGATGCAAACACTACACCGATTTTCGCATTGTGTTTTCAACAATCTCAGCCATGTAGCCGAGCTACCTTGGGAGAAGTACCTTGGCGAGATGCACGAGTTCCTCGCTCCGGGAACAGATGAGCTTCGAGTTTTCTCGCCCGACCAGCATGTGCCGAGTTATTGGTCGACTTTGGTATGTGTTATGAACTTCAACGTCTGAAACGAGGCTAACACGCGTAATAGAGCATCGTTATAAATAAGTCTAACCCTGAGAAAGCTCTTGTTGCTTTCGGAACTGCTTTGTCTGTCTTTACTGAAGGAATGACGCCAGAACCAACTGGGTCGTCAATTGACCTTTCGGAACTGTCGGGGTCATTCGACAAACCTAAGGGCGATTGGGTTGTGTATTACGTGCGTCCGAATAATGGTGTGTTCTATACCAGGACAGCTGGTGCTCTTATGACGCCATTGAGCACAAAAGACTACCATGAGGGGAAGAGGGTTCAGGATCTCAAGATTATACAATAAGAGAAACGCTTTAAGTGTTATATAATACCAGTTTACAGAGCCCTCTAATAAGCTAGGCACTGTCTAGAATTTTGTCTATAATGATAAATGCCATCGAGGTTTGAGGTTTCTGTCGGCTTTGTTGCAGAAACGGAGTAGTCGGTGCGTTTACATTTCCATGTAACCCCATCCTGCGTATAAATCGCACGTCAGTCCCCCGGTTTCAAATATAAGCCTCCCAAACCCCATTGACAACTAAGAACAGAAACTTCTAGAAGCCAGGGCCTAGTCCAGAAATTGTAGAACAACAAAGGGGTTTTCCACTCCATTATCCGAAACCTTGAGATCGGGGATTGGGGATCTAACCGCATTCTAACTGGGGTAATACCCCAGACTTAGGTTTAGAGCGGGGAAGAATGCAAGAGTATAAATATTAACCCGCAACCTCCATACCTTTCGTTCTAGGTTTGCGATCAACATAGAAACGTACATGCTTATTATGGATGTCATTGAACCACGCAAGGCTCCAGCTTTGGAACTGCCAAAGTCCTCTAAGACGATTCGCGTCAAGGCTATCGACACTACAACGCGGATGGCCTGCGACTCCAGAGCATTCGTGCAGCCTCAGATAAAGAACCACGACAGGTTAGATTTTAGGACGCTATGCTTCTTATTGGAACACGACGGCGAGTTTGTACTATTTGACTGCGGTGCCCGAAAAGACTTTTGGAACTCGTCCCCGCAAACATCAGAGATGATTGGTGCTCACGTCCCCAGCCTTGAGGTTGAGTCTGGGGTGGATGAGATTCTTGTCGAGCAAGGATATAATCTAGATGATCTGAGTACATCCAATCTCTCTTCGCTTTTCAGGTGGCCCTGCTGATAATGAACAGAGGCTATTGTCTGGAGTCATTGGCACTGGGATCATATCGGCGACGGCTCAAAGTTTCCAGCCAAAACAGATATTGTTGTTGGCCCCGGTTTTACGGAAAGCTTTGTACCGGGATGGCCACAGAACCCCAAGAGTCCTGTGCTGGCGTCAGACCTTGAGTAAATTTACGCCCAATAATGAGCGACATGCCCCAATATACTGACGTCTTTACACAGAGGCCATTATATTCATGAGCCAGATTTCGATATCCATGTTGCTGGCTTTCCAGCCCATGACTATTTTGGTGATGGTTCATTCTACCTTCTCGATGTCCCAGGTGTAAGTCGCACTAAGATGATCCTTGTTGAAAGAAATACTGACGTCTCTGCTTAGCACGCCATAGGTCATATCTGTGGCCTGGCACGTACCACTCCGGACACATTTGTGTTTATGGGGGGCGATTGCTGCCATTACGCTGGCGCATTACGTCCCACCAGATACCTGCCACTACCACAAGAAATCTCTTCAGGGGTACTGGACGAGTACTATCCAACTCCTTGCCCCTGCTCAGTCTTTACGCAACACCACCCAAAGGCTAAAGGTGAACAGGCACGGACTACACCATTCTACGACGTGTCGCGTGCCCCGGGAAGTGCCTATACCTTCCCGGATCTTGCGCAGAAGAGTATTTACAAACTCCAGGATTTAGACGCCCAACCTAACGTCTTTATCTGTCTGGCGCACGACGAGGTATTGTTTCAAGTCTTGCCTCTTTTTAATGACGACACAACCAAAGATATCAATGACTGGCAAGCAAGAGGGCTTAAGGACTACTGTCAATGGGGCTTCCTTAATGATCTGCCTAAGGGAGGGAAGCCTGGCCGAGAGCCTTTTGTTATTGGACAATGGAGAAATGGCAGGCGAATAATATGGAAAGGAAGAGAGATTGGCTTTGTTGACATTTAGGTGAGGCTATAGTGTAAACTTAATACTACAAGATAGTCGTTCCTATTTACTAATCATAACTTTGTGGCTAGAGAGTTCCTCACTGGGGCCGGTAGCAGTCAAAGAACAGACGGTCATTCTCCTCTAGGCTGGAACCGCCTTTCTCAGCGTCGAGGTCGTAGCTGCCAATGACACGAGGGACAGAGTGAATTAAAGTTATGATGTAGGTGGGAGATCGCTGAAGAAGAGTAACATCGATAACTCGGCGGGCGCAGTCATAAGCAGTGTCGAAACCGGAAGATGAGGCACTGACAATGGACATCTTGTTACAAACAAAGTCACTAGGTTCTCTGCGGTGATATAAGCTCTCAGTCACAAGTATCAACTGCAAATAGCACAAAGTCGCAAAAGCTGTCGTGAGCAGTCGATTGATGAACAGTGCCCTTGAAGTCTGATGTGCCAAGAACAGTGGGAAGCATGAAAGTTTCACACAACCAAGTAGCCCTTACTATCTCTACTGAGCCAAATGTAGTAGAGATTGCATGGCGTGGAGTCTTTCCGAGCTATAGTATTAGCTTGGTTCAAGTCTACAGCAGCGTTAACCTCTATCCTGTTCTCTGAATATTGAGGAGATAGGCCCTCTTAAAGTATTTAGAAAAGATATGTTGCTATAGAACTAAACGTACATCAAGATCTATACCTATGATACTCTAATTCGCATCATAGACGCTTCGCTTTGATAATCCATCTTTGAACAGAGGAGCTTTAAGAAAATCATGTTGATAATGGCAATTGTGTATGTGGTACTTAGATGCAACGATATAGTTCTTGCCACGACTGTGGACATCTGTATGATACAATCCTCTGGCCCGACTACTAGCCCGATTCTCGGCCAACTTGCATATCTTGCATCCGTATAATAAAAGCCCCTTTCTCCCAATCAATAACTTATAACATTATAGTTGGCTTTGGTGTACCGGAGCCTCAGGCTCCTTCAACTTGATGGGAGCCGAAGCCTTTCTCGTTGTTGGCCACTTCACCACCACGGCAATTCTCCTCTTGTACAACAGAGGCTTGAGCTGACTTTTCGCTAGGGCCATTCTCATTGACAGCCGCTTCATCACCAAACAAGACGGCGATGTCTTCAAGAGAGAGCCCCGCAGTCTCCGGAAAGTATTTCTGCATAACGAATACACCAATCCAGGGAATGATGATAAAAACCAGATAATACTTCCAACCTACGTTCTCGAATGCAGTAGGAGCAGTCTGAGTGTAGATCAGGGTCATCATGAATAGACCAGCCACGCTGAAACCAACGCCTTGGGCTCTGATTGAGGTTGGGAAGATCTCAGCGCAATAGACATAGGAAGAAGCATCCATGGTGCCGCCGTAGAAGAAAACAAAGAGGTAGAGAAAGAAGACGCCAAATCCATTGCCTACTTTGTTAGATGTGCCCACAAACTCAGCAACCATGGCAGTGAAGCCACATAGAGATAGGGAGCAGCCGATGAGGCCTATAACCATAATACGGATTCTTCCGAAGCGGTCCAGGATCAAACTGTTGACCCAGTTCATAAAAGCAGCGAGAGAGTTATAGCAGGCATAGAGCATAAGGGCGATTGAGCCTCGGAGGCCAAGACCATCATAAAGAAGAACTTGGTAGTTGTTGACAACAAGAACACCAGTCGACTGCGCAACGCATCTTGATAAAGGTTAGTATTAGAATCACTCAAATGGGTAAGGAGCACTTACTGAACGAAAAATCCATACAAAAGTCTCTTGCGATACGAAGGCCTTGAGAAAGCCTCCCTCCATCCTGTCGCAGCGTTTTCTCGCTTTTCAATCTCGAGCTGGTTGTGAATCTGGTGGAGCTCATGCTCAGCGAAAGAGTGGCCCTCTGGGTGCCTTTCTGTGCTAGGGTGCAGTTTCTCAAGTACTTTCAGGGCATCAGTAGCTCTGTCAACTTTGCACAGCCATCGAGGGGATTCAGGCATCCAGGGGGATCCGATTGCAAGCAGGAGAGGAGCGATGACCTGGAACGCCAGGCAAAGACGCCACTGAAGAGCCTGATTGGTAATGAAGAAGCAGCCGTAGCCAGCCCATCCAGCCATGGCCTAGGAGAAGGTTAACCGACGGACCTTATAAAGTCTTAGGATGCAACTTACATAGCCGCAGACCACTAGAAATCCATGAGAGCCGACCATTCGACCTCTGACATCTGCTGGGGAAATCTCGGACTGGTAAATTGGTACAGCCACATCGATCATGCCAACCCCGATTCCGTTGATACAGCGACCGATGAGCAACATGGCGGTATGGACTGAAGCGGCTTGTATGACTGCGGAGATGATGCAGATGATGCAGGTGGTTTGGATGGCAAGACGTCGACCGCAACGATCCAACAACCAAGGGACGATCATGCATCCGACGACACCGCCACTTGCGAAGAGAGCATTGTTGGCTGGAATGTCAACATTGTTAGAGCATTGCACATTATCGTATTATATATAGTAGACGTACCGCCAATGATCTGGTTGCTCTTAGAAGCCCCTGGTCCGCTTGTAGTCAGATTGAAGTAGTCGAGGAACGACGAAAGGCCGATGACAGAGCCACTGATAGCCGAGTTGAAGCCGTAGGTGAAAGATCCCAGAGCAACAAAAAAGATGATGAGAAAGTTATATGTTGTGCTTGTGCCAGACATTATAGCGGCTTGCAAGATGGTTCAAGAGTGGTTGAGCTATAAGGCATGATGTTGAGGAAACTTTGCGATTCTCAACCCCTTTTGTATCTGGTCGTATGCCTCGTATGGCAGGCCAACATAGTAGCACACGAGTGAAAGCATTGACCTCTACCCCGGAAAACTTGCCCCATGTTGGTACATGAGACGGTATGCTTCAACATGGGGGAGAAAATCAAATACGGGGTAGATCTGGGGTACATGGCGTTTAGACGACTACTTGGTACAGAGGGTCTGGGCAAAGTTAGTACGAGGGCTAGAATATGAAGAGACCCCGCAGCTAGCAGACTTGGCAACGTGGAGATACTAAGTAACCTGCCATGGGTTACAATTGTACTCTCTTGCAAAGGCGGCTATTTTCTTTTCTACTCCAACGCCTCCGGATAACTAATCTGGCCTCTCTTATGTTTTTTAAACTGTTTTTAATTATAGAATATATGCTTTATACAAAGAAATGAACTTAACTTATTTAGATAAAATATTTATAATATATATTATAAGAATCTAACTTATAGCAAGATTACACCACTTAGAAGCAATATCATTTTCCATCTTATACCCTGCCACATCTTCAATAGTTATCTTCCCAGGCTTGGTATTGGCAGAACTCCACCCAATCCTCTCAGTTAGATCTAGACGAGCCCTTAAGCTAGCAGCCTGAAGCATAGTAGCTCTTGGCTTACGCAAAGCCTCATACTTCTTAAGAAGCTGCTCTACAGACGTCTTGGCAAGGTTAGACTCTGAAAATAGCAGGCCAAGTGCTGCAGCATCCTCAAAGGCGCTCACAGCTCCTTGGCTCTGATCTGGCATCATAGGATGAGCTGCATCGCCAGCAAGTGCGACCTTGCCCTTCACCCAGTATTCATAGGGCTTGTGATCGTAGAGCCGCCACATCTTGATATCCTCGGCCTCGGCAAAGAGTCTCTTCATGTTGGGTTCGATGGTCTTGAATGTCTCAACTAGCTGCTCGGGAGTGGCAGACACGTTCCACCCATCATCGCGAGTGTCGTTGAGTGAGGCTGGATAGAAGCAGTAGCAGCAGATCATGGAGCCGCCCCCGGCTGGTGACATGACGATCTTCTCAATGCCCATGCCTCCCCAGTATTCAATTGCATTGCGGGTGACGTATTCGGTTGATCCCAGCTTCTCCAGCTTCTCGTAAGGGACGATGCAGCGGTAGCAACATGAAGAAGAAGGCGTGGCATGGGTCTCGACACCAATTTCGGCTCTGGTGTTTGACTATTGGGACTCTTAGGCTGGTGATCTCTCAAGATGCGAGCATTTTTCACTTACACGAATGCCGTCCGCGGCAACAACCAAGTCTGCAGTGATCTCCAGACCGTTCTCAAACTTAACCCATCCCTTCTCCGCGTCCACCTCGACGGCCTTGTGGTTCAAGAGTAGCTTGGCAGGAGGGCCCTCGCCTTCGCTCGTAGTTGCAGTTCGCTTCAGCTCAGCGTGGATGTCGGGTCGATGGAAGCTATAGTAATGGGTGCCAAACTTGCCCTTGTAATCACCAAAAGGATACTGGGCTGTGATGTCTCCCTTGGCCCAATCGTGCCAGACCATGTCGGTGAGAATAACAGGGCGGGCTCTCTGGATATCGACTCCCCACTTCTCGAGAAAGCGGGTGCCATTTGACGCGCAAGAAATGTTGGAACCGACTTCACCTGTAAAGTCGTATCGCTCATAGAGAGTGACTTGATGGCCCTGGCGGCGCAGAGAGATGGCGGCGGCCAGGCCACCGAGGCCAGAACCGAGAACGGCGATGTTGAGAGGCATTTTGATGAAGATGAATGATGCTGATTGAGTTTCCAAGTCTTGACTGATTGTGTCGATGTCGAGTGGTTGATCATTCAAGCTGGGTACGGCATAGTGATTTATAGCTAATCGCTGGCAGCCGAATCTTGGAGCAATCACCAACAACTACCAGGCCTCAACTCCATGGCGATAAAGACTAGCATCCCACGGGGGGTCAAGAGACCCGAGCTTTCGTTCCGCATAGCAAAACCTAGCAGCGCGGTCCGCATGGCCCTTTCTGGTATAGTCAACAATAGCTACCCTAGGGCCTAGGCCCACTGTGGGTGGCATGGACATGACAGCCGTACGCCTCACGAGGGCGGAAGTTGGGTGCTGGCGTCTGACTGTTCTGGGGTCCTTTGCCATGGCTGGCATATCAAATCTTAAACTTCATTGGTGTTTCAATTCATCGGAAGAGGCCGTTTGACTTGATCAAGGTAATACATATGGTCAATCATAGCTTTCGGCTTCCATCGTTCCGTTCATACCACTTCTTGCCCGGTTTCCATAAGCCACTTGATCCAACAAGTGCTCTTTCCAGAAACATCCTTATCTAGAGACTCCCACATAGAGGAAGTAAGCTTGATAACCTGACTAATACGACCCCCAGGGAACACGTTGTACATATTATTTAGATGGTCTTTGGCTACTCGGCGGGATTGGGCTAGAGAAATGATCTCCACCTCATATTCTGAGTTATTCAATTCAACGGAACTTGAGTCCTGGCCGATGACAGCATGCATTCGTAACTCTGATGCTGCGACGATGACTGGAACAAGCTGAAACCGAAGTACTGCAGGATCTCCACGAGTTTGGAGTGCCAGGTCAAATACATGTTGTGCCATAGAAAAGAGATCTTTGTCGAGGTGGTTCTCTTGAAATAACAAGAATCCCGATTGTGTCTCATATGTTGAGTGGTCGTACCTCTTCGCCAACTCTGGGAAGACTCTATATAGCTGCATCAAACCGGCCAGTTGATAGAGCTCAGCCAGCCGACTTAGCTGGTTCTGTGCATCAGTGGCCGCGATATTGTCGCCTACGGGACCTGGTCGGCATGATCTCAACAGTCGACATTCAAGAAGGCTCGCTACGTACTGATGAGCACTGCTGTTACAGGCTCCCAAATGGGGTTGGTCCAGGAGACTGCAATGATGTCGAATGAGCTCACCCACCAATGTCATGCATTCAATGAGCTCCGCAGAAGTGCCTGTCCATGGATGTACATCGAAAGAAGGTGCGGCTGGGGACTCAATACGATGCATCATGGTGGCGTGAGAGGTCGGGCTTGCGAGAAAGTCGAACCTCGGCTTGTTAGAGCTCATGTAAGTAATAAACATGAGCCAATAGGTCATGATGCCCTTTCGAAATGTTTGTGTATCGGCAGAGGTCAAGTTGTTCTTGTAGAGAGAAGCGAGCTTCTGGAAGATGTCCAGCATGGAGTCTCGCGGTTGCATCCAGTCGGCTGAAGCACCCAGTAGGATAATGCTAAATCCCACCGAGTTCTGATCTGTGTTGCAAGGCGAACGCTCTATTTCTTGCTCTATGATGCGCTTTGCCTCATGCCGGAGTCTCCGAGCGACTGGTAGGAGATGAGGTGTCGACTCGGACAGATACGCAGCCGAAATGCTTTGTAACACGTAAGGTAAAGACCCAGAAGTCCAGGAGTTCCATCTTTGTGCGATGTCGGTTACGAATGGGTTGTCGATTTGGAGGCAGCAGCAGAACAACGGTCCAATGTGGCGGAAATAATGAAAGACCAAGGTGGATGAGGCATCGGTGAGCAGCGGCGGTGGCCCGGTAGGGTTGGTTGTCGGAGCTGTAACCGCGGACAAGTCCCAGGAGTGAGAACATGTTACTGGCACGGCTGCTTGCGGCAAAACCTCATAATCGGTAGAGCAAGAGTTCAGACCTGCTTGCAAGGCTGTTGGATGTGAAGCTTTCGAAGCAGAAGGGATATTCTCAGATACTGTATCAGGAGTGTTACATTGAAACACATCGAAGAATGGTGCCACAGTAAGGTAGGGGATCGAGGATTGCTGTTCAAGCAGCGTCCATTGGTCTGAGAAGTCAGATAAGGTGCTAGTGGGGAAGCCGAACTCAAACTGGCCATGACAGAAGAATGCTCCAGGGGTCGTGAGGTCGGATACCGGGCCAGCTGTTGTGGTAGAGCCCAGATCCGACGATGAATGCTGGGATGCCGGAACCCCTTTCGGAATAGGTGGTTTACCTTTGCGCGTCGAGGTGCTTCTATCGCTATTATTGCTGCTACTGTCGGATCGACGGGCGCGTCTGATGGACTCCAGACCGTCGCACCACTTGAGTGCCGGGCGCTCGTACTCACACGAATGGCTTCTGCGGCTACATTGCGAGCAAGCCGGCTTCGCCTCGTCACATTTGATCTTACAAGAGGCGGCGTTAGGTCGATGACACCGGGGAGATGCGGCGGGTATGGAACTCACACGACGGTGTCTGCAGCGGACACATCCGAAACGAGACTTCTGACCGGCTTTTTTCATTTCGATCCAATCTTGCTTCCTCAGTAGATAGAAGCAGGACGTGTTATTTCTGTGCGAGGACGCAGGCGAGGCGCGGGTGGAATGGTGAGGGGCCTCATCGATCTATTAAAACTAAGCTGATCATTGGCTCGTCAAGGTTTGCCTATTCGGGCAGTAGTGTCCAGCCACCCATTGACCCTCTATCGCCAATGACGGCCTGTCTAGATACCAGTAATGCAGTAACTGGTTTCGGAAATGCCGCTAGGATGAACTTTCTACTGGCCCAGCAGTGTCGTAAGCCTACTTTGAGAAATGCGGTCCTCAAAACCCAATCAAGACTAGCATATCACCATCATTCTCTATCTCCCCATGGGGATTTGACGAGGTTCTGTCTGTGCAGATGATGGTAGAGAGCGATCGAGTAGTATCTACCCTTGATACCCCAGATAAGGGTGGATTTGATCTGCTTTTAGAGACATGGAATGTGTGTATTTATACTCAGCTGATTCCAAACATTATCAAGTCTACGCTTCATCTCTTATGTGCAGTCCACTGACCAAACACCACATTTCTCCTCGTCGGCCTACAAATATTCTCTCTCTCATACCACTTACATATCTGACCCAAATGGAAGTGCATCAAGTCACTAGCCAGCTGCCTCAGGGTAAGTATCCTAACATGCCCAGCATCACCCCAGCCGCATAAACCAGAGCTGTCTGCTAACTCAGCCATGTTAAAAACATCAGGAGCTGGATATGCCATCATTCTTGGCTTCGGCGCCCTATTTGTCTCCATAGTGCTTTTCATCTCACGCTGGGCAGCGAAGCACAATAATGAAGTACAGGGCTCCGAGATGTTCACCACGGCAAAACGCTCCATCAAGTCCGGCCTGACAGCAGCAGCCGTTGTTTCGTCTTGGACCATTGCATCGACTCTCCTATCATCTACCACGTGGTCATACAGCTACGCCGTCGCCGGGGCCTACTTCTACGGTGCAGGAGCCCTTACAGTCATCGCCGTCTTCGTCATGTCCGCTATCGAGCTGAAGCGCCGAGCTCCCGCGGCACACACATTCTTCGAAGTCAGTCGGATCCGATACGGTCGAGGTGGACATATTGTTTTCATGGCATACTCGACCCTTTACTGCGTCATCAACTGCGTCAATATCCTGGTTGGCGGCTCTGCTGTCTTTAGTTCCATGACTGGCATGAACCAGATCGCCGCCATCTTTCTCCTCCCGTGCGGAATTGTTCTGTTCACTCTTAGTGGAGGTGTCAAGGCTGTCATCATCACGGACTACATGAACACCATCTTCATCCATTGCACAGTTCTATCTGGTGTCTTCGTGGCGTACGCAAGGCCTGATTCTGTTCTCGGAAGCCCTGGCAAAGTTTGGGAGCTCCTCAAGGAGGCTGCGACGCGAGCTCCAGTTCCGGGTAATGCCGGCGGCGAGTACCTTACAATGAGGTCAAATGATGCCATACTTCTTGGTATTATCCTTTGGTGCGCCATCTTTGGCTGCACTATCGATGTCCAGCTCTTCCAGAAGTCCATCACTGCCGATCCTGCAGCGACTTTGCCAGGGTATATCATTGGTGGTGTCGCCTGGTTTAGCATTCCCTTCTGTTTGGCTACAACTTTTGGCCTCTCAGCTCGCGCCATGGAGTTCACTGAACTTCTTCCCCGGGCCATCACGCCTACAGAGGTTGCACAAGGTCTGACGCTTCCGATCGCAGCGGGTGCAATGATGGGAAAGGCCGGTCTGGTCCTTGTTCTCATCATGGTATTTATGGCTTGTACTTCTGGATTCAGTGCAGACACTGTGTCAATTGCTTCGGTCTATATCTACGATGTCTACAAGGGCTACTTCAACAAGAATGCGTCGGGAAAACAGTTGGTTCATATGTCACACCTTGCTGTCGCCATCTGGAGTCTACTCATGGCTGTCATTGCCACGGGCATCTCAAGAACTGCTATTGGTGTAAACTACATCGTCACTTGTATTGGAATCTTCTGTGGATGTGCTGTTTTCCCTTTCTATGCTACTCTTCTTTGGAAGAAGCAAAGCAAGTCAGCCGTTATCTGGGCCCCAATCCTGGGTTCGGTCACCTCTATTACATCATGGCTGTGTTCCGCACATGCCCTCCACGGCGAGGTGACAATCTCATCGACAAGCCAGGTCATACCGCTCTTAATTGGAAACGTGGTCTCTGTGCTATCAGGAATCATTTTCTCTGTTGCTATTACCTATGTCTTTGGTGCTGACCAGTTTGATTGGTCTCTTCTGCAGACGGACATCCATACTTCCAATGACATGGATGTTCGAGGGATGACTGCACGTCAAGTAGAGGAGCAAGCCCAGGCCGAAATTATCAGCCCTGAGATGGACGCGCTTCTCAGGAGGGGGACACGCAAGGCCATCTTCGCTACGATGATATTCTTCCTTAGTATGATGGTTCTGTGGCCGCTTCCCATGTTTGGCACTTCCTACGTATTCTCCAAGGGCTTCTTCGAAGGCTGGGTGGTAAGTGACTTGGAAATTACCGACTTAAAAATACTCGCTAATACATATCAGGGAATCACTTTCATTTGGGCATGGGGCGCTGCACTTGTCATCACTCTCTTGCCACTATGGCAATCGCGATCAACACTCTTCCTTTTCGTACGGACTTGTTTTGGGTTGAAAAAGATTATCGCTCAGGACGATAGTAGCATTAACCAAGAGACGATTGAGCACGAGGGTAAATAGGAATGATGCGCTGATTACCTTGGATTTCTTCTTCTGCCTGTTTACTCTTCTACTTCCTTTCGATTTACCTTCTCTTTACCCATCAATTGATAAGTTTAATACTCTTTTACCTGCATTAAAAGGCTTAGAATGCTATGCTATAAACACATGATGATCTACGTACCAATACCCGAGTGCGAGGTAAGCACAATAAATGCGCATTCGATAAGCCTGTTATGGTCAGACAATCAGGCTCAAAAGCCCATAAATTATACGAGGGTCTAACTGTATTGTCCGACTCAATACAGTCGGCATCCAGAATCTCATTAGCGATCATAATGATGAGATCGACGATGTCTGGAAGATGCGTTGCGAGTACCTTTCTTTCATTTCTCCCACTGGCCTGCCTACACCCTTTCTCAGAAGCAGGTCATTTCCATTTGGTGGTACGCCTCTGGTCCTGAGCTCAATTTTTGGGCCAAGTCTCCAGTCATGTTCAAGGCAACTGGAGAATTATGGTCCAAAAAGAGGGTGAGGAGCCTCGTGAATTCCACCCGAAGTAGGCCGCCATGGAGTAATTGTCGCTTCAGTATTAGTAGCTCTAGTCTGAAGAGTCCTTAGAGGATGGCACAAGTCTTCATCAGGATCACAGCCCAGAAATTGTCCGGCTTGTACACTTTCGTTACCTCGTCTCCAGTAGTGTCTATCCACTCAGGGCCTCCCATGGTGACTCCCTTTCGAACCAAGTCTTTGTCCAATGTAGCTTTCCGTTGAGGGTCTCCTGTAACAGATTCATCCTTGTGGCATGCGTCAGATGGCAGCAACATCACAATAGGCATACATCGACACAGTACAGCACGGCCGCCATTTCAAGGTTCCAATTCTATTGTTCATTTTCTCTATTCCTTACAAGTTGGGGCTTCCCCCGACCAAAGACTTTTCCAGCTCGATCAGCCGCTCAATCGACTGTACTGCATCTCCATCCATGCTTGAGATCTCTACAGTTGGGAGAGGACGCCTCACCCGGCCATCACCATAACCAAACCACTTGCGGCAGGATGTCTTGACACCCGAGATCCCAAACTTTAGCAGAGCAGCATCAGCATTAGAAAGATCCTTCTGTATCGCTGCTGCTCGCTCCAAATCACCCGCTGAGTAGGCCCGCAATAGCTCAACATGGACTCCTGGAACCACGTTTGCTAGGGCTGCGATGACACCTGCTGAGCCACATACCAAGCTCGGGAGCATAAAGTCTGCCTTGCCCGCAAAGGCAGAGAACTTGTTGGTCGGAAGAGCAGCAGTAACTCTTTGAAGTTTACCAAGATTTCCGCAGGTGAGCTTGACGCCGCTAATGTTAGGCAGCTCTCTCGCCAACTCGATAATAAGATCAGAATCAACATCGATTCCACTTGCTACATTAGGGAAGTTGTAGATAACTATAGGTAACTTTGATTCCGCGGCCACCTATCACGGGTTAGTCAGAGTCATGTTATTCGAGGGGACGTCAAGAACATACATCTCTGTAGAAAGATTTAATAATAGGCTTTGTCATGGCGGCTGCCCAATAGCTCGGTGGAAGAACGAGTGCGTAGTCTGCCCCAGCCTGTTGAGCTTGACTGATAAGCTCCAGTGTCTGGCGTACACTATTGGCGCTGCAGCCAGCAATGATTGGCGTTTGCTGTTCGAAAAGGCTGGCGGTGGACCGAATGTGCGAGATGATCTCTACCCGTTCTTTGTCGCTTAGATGGGTAGCTTCGCCGTTACTGCCGTGGACTACCAGCCCGGTCACTCCAGCTTTGAGAAGTCGCTGGACATGCTTGGCAATGCTGTCAAAGTCGATGTTTTCCTGGTCATCAAAGAAGGTAACGGCCGGAGCGTACACTCCATGTGGAGGGGGGCCAGATACTCGAGACATGATGCTGAGGTTTATCGCGAGCAGTTTTTTTGAATGAGCTTGAGAATTTTATTAAATATTTATATACCTCAAAGCTCTATATGTATGTTATAAATTCCTGCTCCATACGTCTACTCCAATTTTTACTGTGTGTTCGGAAGACGGAGCAATTGGAGAAGGTAGCCTCTCCCCACCGGGCTCCAACGCCATGAGCCCATGGGCGCACTACTGTTGGGGGTGAATTGGAGGAGAAAACCAACGTGCGCCCTAATTGGATAGACTTCGTTGGAAAAGGCATGGCTATGAGGGAGAGGGGTAATAAGACAAGTCTGTTTTTTAAATATATAATTTGGCTAAAGCATGATAAATATTATGTTACATCAGGGACTGTTTAGACGAAGTCGTAAGCAGATCTTTCTTTTTTTTCCCCTTATATCTTATTGTTTGACTCTCTGTTTAATTAACTACTACCATCAGGTCAGCCCAGTTCTGAATGCCCAACGTTTGTGGGATTATTGCACATGGCGATCCCCGTTTCCAACGTGTTTTACGGGTTGTAGGGTAAGGTCAGCTGGAATGGGCACAATTCACTGTCACCGCCTCCAGTGTCTGGGCCTATCACGCTGTTACCCGCGTATTCCTGTCACGCTTATATCCGCGCATGGGAATTCCCGTCTCCACTTTGATGCGGGGGGCCACCAAAGTTCCATTCTTCTTCAACAGATTATCATAAGGAGGAGATCTCCATGTGAACCAGTCTCCTTCTCCCATCAACCCTGCGGCCATCTGATTGGTTCGTTCGCTCCTCAACTGACACTGTTACCGCGACGTCATTTCTCTCTGTGGCTTAGCTCGTGCCGAATGTTCCGAGCTGAGACACAGCCTCCACAACGGGTTCAAAAAAAACCGAAACTTTCTCGGCCGAAGAAGCCGTCAGTGGCTCTCAACCTTTTTATCCTCGCAACCCACGGACTGCGCACTAGCCACTCGTGCCGCGTCACTCCCTGGTTGGTAGCCACTCGAAGCATTAATCACCGTAAAACTCTAGCATGTGTAGACCCAGTGAGATCATACCCGTTGGTTCCTTCGTAAATTGCGCCCCTTGGCTGACGGGCTTGCTCGACATATTTATCTGTCCTCGCCCTTGATCCCTTTGGTAATCTTCCATTTTGAGTTACCATCTTCTTTCCTCATTCACTTTGAATTTCATTTTTAATTCTTCTACAACCGTTGTGTTTGGGACAGTCAGGATGCTCGGCTTTGTAGCCCTCACGCTCTGGCTCAGCACAGCCATTGCTGCTCCGGATGACACGGCTTTAATCCCCAGGGTCAATTCAGTCGAGATCCGGGCCCTGCCAAATTCTCCGAGTGGTGGATATGCTCCGAAGGTAGTTGATTGCCCATCAACGCGTCCAAAAATTCGTCTTGCCGATGAACTGTCCAGCGAGGAAGAGGCATGGGTTCGACGCCGCAGAAACAACACCATCGGTGATCTCAAGACATTCTTGTCGCGAGCCAACATTTCTGGCTTCGATGCCGAGAGCTTCGTTGAGAAGCATAAGAACAATGCGACTGGTCTACCCAACATCGCCATTGCCGCGTCCGGCGGTGGTTATCGCGCTTTGATGAACGGTGCAGGATTCCTCTCAGCTGCTGATTCACGCAACAACAAGACTGGCCCCATCAGCGGCCTTCTCCAATCGGCAACGTATCTGGCTGGTCTTTCTGGTGGTGGCTGGCTCGTGGGTTCCATTTTCGCCAACAACTTCTCAACAGTTCCAGACCTACAGTCTGGTGAGAAGGTCTGGCGATTTGACCGCTCCATCTTCAAGGGCCCCAAGAGCTCTGGAATCAGTCTTCTCAACACTGCCGAGTACTGGACTGAGATGAAGGATGCTGTGGATGACAAGGACAAGGGCTGGAACACTACTCTCACCGATTGGTGGGGCCGAGCTCTGTCGTATCAGCTCGTTAATGCCCCCGAAGGCGGACCTTCTTATACCTTCTCTTCCATTGCCGATACCTCAAACTTCAAGGATGCAGATACGCCCTTCCCTATCCTCGTTGCTGATGGTCGTGCCCCCGGTGAGCGCGTCATCTCCTTGAACGCCACCGTATATGAGTTCAACCCATACGAGTTTGGTACCTGGGATCCTACAACCTTTGGCTTCGCACCTGTCGAGTATCTCGCTTCCAACTTCACCAACGGCAGTATCAGCTCCAAGGGTGAATGTGTTCGTGGCTTCGACCAGATCGGCTTTGTTATGGGAACATCCTCTTCACTGTTCAACCAGTTCCTTCTCAACAACGTCACCAAGGTCGGTGAGGAGAATGATATCCCCGAGATTGTTGTCAAGGCAATCGAAGGCGTCTTGGTTGGCTTGGATCAGGATGACGAGGATATCGCTCAGTATACACCCAACCCCTTCTTCGGATGGAACCCTACCGACAAGAGTGTCAACTCCAAGGACCATCAGTTGACTCTTGTTGACGGTGGAGAGGATCTGCAGAACATCCCTCTTCACCCATTGATCCAGCCCGTTCGCGGTGTTGATATCATTTTTGCTATTGATTCGTCTGCTGATACGAACAACAACTGGCCCAACGGCACTGCTCTTCGTGCTACATATGACCGTGTTGGTTCCAGCATTGGCAACGGCACACAATTCCCGTCGGTCCCATCAGCTGAGACCTTTATAAACGAGAAGTTGAACCAGCGCCCCACGCTCTTTGGCTGTGACGCCAACAACTTCACTCTTTCAGATGGTGAAGTCCCGCCACCGCTGATCTTCTACATCCCCAATGCACCCTATACCTATCACAGCAACGTGTCTACCTTCGACATGTCGTATACCACTGCAGAGCGTGATAACATCATCCTCAATGCTCTCAACGGAGCTACCCAAGGAAACGCCACCATTGATAAGGAATGGCCTACTTGCGTTGCATGCGCTGTCATGAGCAGAAGCTGGTGGAAGGCCAATGAGGCTGTCCCTGATGCATGCAAGACCTGCTTCGACCGCTACTGCTGGGATGGAAAGTCCAATAACACTGCTGTCAAGAGCTACGAGCCCGAGTACATTATTGGAGGAAACGCGACCGCGGAAGCGGAAGATAACGCAGCTGGAGCCAGGCTCGGTCCAAGCTGGTACGTCTCGGCTGGTGTTGGAGCTGCTGCATTGTTTGCTCTTGCGTGATAGTGGGATTTCGTTTGTAATAGCTGATAGAAGTTAATAATTACATACTTGTTCAATTTCATTATTGGTCGTGTGAGTCCACCTCGGAGAAGTTGACTCTGAATATTCCGCTATCAACGCCAAGTGCCGGTCCGGACTTTCTCAGAACTCCGCAATACCGAGAAATAAATGACCAGCCTGATTATGAATAGACGGGCAACTACAGAGTTGAAACTCGCAGAATACGGAGCATCCTTCTTTCCAGGCCCATAATCTCATGTCTTCCGAATTATCACTACCCACGCGCATTGTTTTCGGACAAGTGAATTGTCCGACACCTACATATCAAGCGACCGGAGGGGAGCGGAACTTAGAGCCGGATGGCTTACTCACTGAACCACGACAGGTGTTATGTGATGTCGCGTGACGGGATGTGTGTTTATCATATGTCGCTGTGTCGGCGGGTATCCGCGTCTTTCGTGATAATCCTGATTATTGTTGTCAATTGAGATTGTACTGAGGTCTTTTCCTTCTTATACCTGGAGAAGTAAATCAGATTTTGACGGAGGTAGGAGCTTCGACATAAGGTAGACTTGTTGTGAGAAGACGAAAACCATTGTTGGTTATAGGTGTGACCACGCGAGCGATGCACTGATTACTGGATCTGGATGTGATGATACCCTCATGCATTCTAAAATTGTAATTAACTACGTATTACTTGCGGGCCACTGTTTAATTTCGAGAGAGCTTGATTTTTCGATAAAATTCCTTTTTGCTCAATCACCAGCTCTCACCAAGATGGCCAGCATGATATTATTGTAATTGCGTGTGACTATGACTCGTCGGTTGTGAACGTAATGAGGAACATCCTTTTCCTCTGCCAGGGCAGACCGCTTTCATTGCTTTAACTAAACACTTAGCCTCCCAACCCTTCTCCTTTCTATTTTTAACCTTATCTCTCCTCTATTTAAAAATGCCATTCTCCTGCCAACATGCCGGCTGCAATCGTACATACCTACGGAAGGAACACTTAAAACGGCATATGATATCGCATGAGCGGCCAAAAGAGTTCATGTGTGAACAATGTGGCTCTAGACTATCTCGAACGTATAAGATCCCCTACCCCTCAATGGCTAGTTTAGTGTCTCATGCTGGATAAATAGTGACACTTTTCGTCATCACATGGCTTTACACGGATTAGTTGTCCAATCTACCCGTGCTCCTGAAGCCTGTCTGCCATGTCGCCGAGCCAAGACGAGGTGCGATGGCCAGAGCCCAGCATGCTCGGGTTGCTTGGCGAAATCAATAACATGTGTTTGGCATGTTTCGAATAGCAAGCGACAACGGTCCCCTGAACACCCTACCTCCATGGAGCCAGCTTCACCCGCTCATGTATCAACAGAGCCTCCCTCCGCCGAAGACTCAGAATGCGTCAACGAAGATGACCCCTGCGGCCTCACGAATTCCACGGCACTCACTGCCCCAGCATCGGAATGCCCGGGTAAACTTGCCATGTATGATAAATTGATCGCGGTCTACTTTGAGAAGTTCCATCATCATTGGCCGATCGTTCATGAGAAGAGCATCCGTTTGCGAAACGCACCGCAAGTGCTCGTGAAGACCGTGGTCACTATTGGTTTGTACTTGACAGAGAATACTGAGGCACAAAACTTGGCGAAAAGGACACTCGAAAGTTTTCTTCATCAATCCGGCAATGCACTGGTAAGTCTATGACCCGTAGAAAACGACTTCTCCCGGTGTTGGCCAACATGGACCTCGATGTTTGGAGGATTGACAATTAGGTTGGGCTAGTGTTGCTAATGGCCTCTTAGGCTACATTTATGACCATGGGTGAGGCGGGACGCCTTGCCCCCGAGCCTGAGCATCTACCTCAGTTTCAGGCGATTCTGCTGCAGGCCATAATGATTCCTCGCCTGACAGAATATGGCATTGCAACAGGTCTCATGATCGACTCTATGCTCTCGAGAGTGCTGATGCTTGCCGGTATCTACGACCAGGGTAGAATTAATGCTGCAACCATGCATTCTGAATGGCAGCATGTAGATCCGCTAACTCTGAGAGATTCCTATCAACGGTACGCGCCCACGTCCAAAAGCTGCTCACAAATCTAGTTCTCATCTCACTCATTCTGATACTTGCCATGTAGCTTGGCTTTATTCCATTTCAAGTTCCACGCCCTTTTTCAGGTTTTCTGTCGAGCCAGGTATCCATGGCATAGAATCTCGGGACTTATTGAGCCGTCGTTGCTCCGTATTCAGCTTCCCATGACGCTTGTGTTATGGGACCTTCAGCCAATATCCCTTTCCAGTGATGGGGCCATCGATAGCAACGCAATATCAACCGCTGGCGGCGGGCAGCTTATCAGCGATATGTGTCAAATGGCGGTCATGAGCGGAGACAAAAGGCCACTGGAGCCGGTTGATGGGGTGCAACCAGGGCTCGGCATCACTTTGTGGCATTGGCTGAACAGGACAAGCGACGATGATCCCAATTTCGTTGCACAAATGAATGAGTTTGGCTCGGAAAGCTTCCAGGGCATACCCACGTCAACTATCAGTTAAATATAAGCCTTTATTCTTGTCTCGCAAATAAAACAGAGTCCTATATCGTCCCCATACAGTTTCCTTCACTAGCCTATTTCTCCCACAAGTTGGAGATTGCGTCGTTGAACCCCTCGTAAAGTGCGTCTAGAGTACCCTTCAAACCAGTGTCGTCCAAACTCGATTCGCCTTTCCAGACAACCCTAGTTTGCTTATCGCTGAGAGGTTCAAGCTTGACGTTGCCAAACTGAGTGGCATCTTTGGCCGTGCTTATGTCGACTCGGAAGCGCAAGGTGTATTCGGCGGCATTGACTTCCTCCAGAGTCTCTTTGGTCGTGATACCTGGTCGTGTAGTAAAGGCGAGATTGCGGACGGAGCCGATGCCATATCCCTCAAGGGTTGACGAGGTACAGTTGGGCATCCAGAGGCTCTCACAACCCCAAGATGCCACGATGCCCCAGACTTCCGTTGCTGGAGCATTGACGACGCTGGCATATTCAGTGATGACTGTAGTGGTGTTCATCTTGATAAACAAATTAAAGGATAGTAAATTGAAAATATCTCAGTGTGTTGGGTTTTGTTCGTGTACATGAAATCTATAATTTTATAGGTGTAGATATGCAGGCATTCTGATTTATGATATCCGGTATCCCATCCGGTATCCCATCGGTATCCCATCTAGTGTTTCAATATAAGCCGATTAATAAACTTAACCCTTGAATGTTAACGGCTCCATATGCCTTTTAATAGAGATGCTATCCCGCAGCTATAGCCTCTATCCAACCACTCTAATAAATTCTTTCTTGTGATTAAAGTCACCACCCAGTTTTATTCATACACCACCAGTCACGGCACGCTCCTCACTGCATACTACCACCTACAATGCCTGCCGCACTTTCTCACGCCACTCGCATCATCCATGCGCCTATCGGACAGGTCTGGGGTATCGTCGCCTCCTTTGGTGGGGAGAGCCTTTGGTTTCCAAACGTAACCAAGTCGTCGCTCGAAGGATTCGGCGTTGGCTCTGTTCGCTCCCTCTGGTTTGGCAATGGTCCAACAGGGAAAGATAACTGGGATGAGAGCCCCGTACGCGAAAAGCTCATAAGCGCTGACCCGGCCACTCACTCACTCCGTTGGCAAATCTTCAACGAGAACATCAGCAACTTTGAATCCTTTTCCGACCTCAAGGTTCGCTCCATTGACGCAAACACGGCGGAGATAGTATGGTCTGGCGAGACGGATTTCCCTGACGGAGCCGAACGGGACAACCTGAAGGTGTTTATCGAGGACATGTACAAGACTGCCATGGAGGCTATTGCGAAGAAGTTAGAAACCTGAGAATGGCATGCACCTCAGTTAGCTAGGCTGTGGTTGCTCTCATAGGAATGACCGTTAAAGTGGGATATACTTATTCGCATTAATATTTAATTATCTGGGTAATCTAGTAATAAACCTCAAGCCGGGCCTGGGCTACGAGGATGATAGAAGCTGAATATTCCATGGTCACCCTTATCTCTGCACTCCTTTTCCCTCAATAAGATGAGCAAACAGGGATCTCTTCCGCTACCTTACGAAGACTGTCACATACTTGTTTGTAGATTGAAAAAACGATATAACTCAGGCAAGATCCTCAAGGCATCCGGTGATCAAGTTTATTGTAGTTGTGTCTGTTTCTATTATTATCTGTAATGGCGTCCTCACAGATTCAGCGAACCAAGAAGTTCAGTCAGCTGCGGCACGTCAGCCGGAATATCCTCCCACGTTAGTAGCTTGTTTGTCTTTGCGTTGATCATATTCGTGTAAATATCCGCCATTTTCCTGCTATCCCAAAGGCCTTCCCGTCTCCCGAGACACCGCAGAAGCCTCACCGCCTCCCATTGCACGCTTGTGTCCTGGCATGATATTATAACGTAGGATATTGGAGGGACGAGATTGGCCTGGAATGTGAAGATCTGGCCCTTATCGCTTTGGGTCATCTTGATGATCTCTTCTGCCTTCTTCAATATCTCGATGCAATCGGCCGTTTCCAAGTCCTCGTCGATGTGGTTGAGCTTGAAAGTGGCCTGCCATGTAGTCTCTTCCAGTTCAAGAACTTTGAACCGAAATAGCTCTGACTCTGAGGCCTTCGATGGATCAAATGTCTTCTTGAAAGCATGATATCGTGCGCTCCAATGATGGTAAAAGGCTTCTGACACCAAACCTTTATCTCGTTGCTTGCATACAACCCCACCATCGCCGCACTGAACCCCATCATTTGAACAGTCTGGGCAATCGGCGTAGAGCTCCACGTCACAAAGCGTCTCGACTCGTGTCAATGCTGCAGCTGCAGCTTGTGCAGAAGTAAAGGGCTCACCGGGTTCTTCCAGGTCAATCGGGTCTTGCTTATCGGCCCATGCTGTAATCTCCGAGACAAGCTTCGAGGAATGGTTGTCTCCCACGTAGAAGAATAGGTCAGAAGCCAGGCCGCATAATGAAGGGCCAATATTTTCCATAAATTTCGCCAAGTCCCATCGATCACAGGCGTTCAACAGAGAAAATGCAGCTTCCAAATGCCGCGATACGTTCGTGTAGCGCCCATAAAGATTCTCTGTGCAGATAAATATTAAACAACAGGTTAGAATAACCTGAAAGTCTTTATCGGGTGAGTTCATGTACTCTTGCATTACCCGAATTGCATTGTTGTATTGCTGGATGGACGCGATCTCGTAAGATTGGGCGAGGGATTGCGTTAATGAGTCAGTCTGGGTCTGAAGCTTGAAGGCCTTGTGCGCCCCTCCCAACGCTCCAATGGCAGCCTTGACGGGTTTTGAAGTCTGGCTGAGTGGTAATGCATACGCGTGCCAGAAGCTCATTGCGTTGAGAGAGCTCGCAAGTTCTGATACCGTATATGTTCGGAAGTGGTGGCAAAGGTCCAACTCTATCGTCGAACCGAACGTCTCTGGTGATAAAGCTGCTGGGACAAGAAGCTTTGAGGCTGTCGCGAGTCGGCGAGATATGAGGTCATACTGCTTTCTGTGGAGGGCGAGAGATTTTGTCTTTGGTTTGCTCTCTGAGGGAGCAAGGTAGCCGTCGCACGTCCGTTTGTCCTTTTCACATCTGAAACACGTGGGTTTTCGTTCATCGCATTTGAGGTGGCGGATTCTGGACTACGATTAGCCAAGTTTCGGTCAAATGTAGTAATATGCTACGAACTTGCTACTTTGATTAGCACCGAATTTTACGTGTCTGGGTGTTTGACTTACCATGTCCTACAGCCAGACCTCACTTTCGGCGCTCTCGCCCTCTTCCATTTCACCTTTGCACCAAAGTCTGACATTCTGGCGTGAGATCAGCTACCAAGGACGATCCCCACGTGGTGATAGGCGGGCGTGCAAGGCCTAGTATATGATAATACAAGCACAGGCCCTTCATTCCAGGGACGTCTCCGTCACATGGCGTGAGTCATGAGGGACGTTGAGCAGGGAGAAGTGACAATTTCTTTGGAAGGGGCTCCTTGATTGAAGCGATCTACGACGGAAAAGGTAAAGAGGCTGCCCCTTCCAGGTGGGGTCATGAACTTTGCCCGCACAGCCCGCCCTGATCTTGGGTAAACACTGCCCGAAGCGACCCAATTTCACAGCAACCACCTGCTAAATCCGTTCACCTTGGTGACGAGTTTGTAAGGCTTAGATGGGGCTCTCAGAGGTTATTTTATCCTTTTGCCTGCCTTAAAAACCAAGGTTGTTGCAACCGAGCGGCCGCTTCCGACATTGGAAATTGCTCACTGTGACTCGGAGTATCTTTCAGCCGCTTTCATGTCACACTCGTAAACCATCTTAAATGAGTTTCTATAAATAGATATACCCTATAAAAACCTCGGCATGTCCAATTTCGGGCCAAGTTATTGTCTTTTTCCTTTAAATATATACTTAAACTCTATAAAAGTCTTAAGTTGTAGCAATTTCAATAGATAAGACCTTTCTATCTAGTATTATAACTATTTTCAAACGAAGAGCAGCAACTAATGCGACAAAAGTTCTGCGTGCACGGTTGGGAGAATCCTTTGCCTTGACATTAGTGAACTAATATCAAGCGATGTGGAAGGCAGCTCGAACCAATGCAGTTCTCAAGCAATCCCATACTCGTGATGACACAAGAGAGTACCAAGCTTACACTGGTCATAAACATACTTACTCGATTCCCATAGCCTAAGCATTGCGTCAGCTGACGGCTTACGGCTTGGCTGATTGTAAGCAAGTAATCCGTATAAATACACAAACTAGGGCCCAAGTACTTGTAATCAAACCTTCTCACAGCAATCGAAAACCTGAGTGAGACATCAATATTTATCACCGCAAGCATGACATCACAACAAGAACTCAGAGAGGCTATTGAAAACACAACGAGACAGTTCTTGGGTGCCTACAAAGACGCTGGCGAACAAAACAACCCAGCAATCATCAACCGTGATGTCACCGACTCTTGCAAAAGGTACTTCAAACCAGCCGGTGTTCTTCAGTTATTCGGATCGCCTCCTGAAGATGGCTTGAATAACGCCGACTACGAAGCCGCGATGGCGCTCGATCTCAAGAAATACGTAGTCACCTACAGCGACATCTCTGACTTGACTATCGACACCGAGTCACGCAAATCAGCCGCAACGACTGTTACGGGCATGAAATACAAGAATGGCGAAGAGGACGTCATAGAACATTCGTGGATCTTGGACTTCAACGAGGATGGGTCTAAGGTCACAATGGTCATCGAGTTTTGTGATATGGATGGGCTAAGAAGGATGTTTGCCAAGGTGTACAGTGACAAGGAAGACAGTAAATAGCCCAGTAGCTAGAGTGTATGTACTACGGTACAATTTCAGGGCAATGATAGCTGGTATACATACTCAACGATTAGGGTTTGTAAAAGCAAATGTATCGAAAGCTGATCTGAAGCTTGGTTATCTAGGATAAAGGTCTTTTCTTGCCATGCGCCACTTTAGCCTAATATGACACAAGCACATGCGTGTGTAATACCCTCTGGAGTCAGCAGCCCAACTAATATACGTAACGGAACTGGGGGATCTCTTGATCTGTCTTGTCGCTAAGATTGATTCCTTCCAATGGTCCCTCAATGGCATCTCCAGCATTGTCCCGCTTCTTGTTCTCCCAGATGAGATAGAATCGCAGGATAATGCAGAGAACCGCAGAAACTGCCAAGCAAATCATGACAGCCAGGAATCCAGACTTGTATCCAGGGGCCTCGGAAGGGAAGAACAGATGAGGACCAACAATATTTCCAGCACAATATGCGATGAAGACCTGGATTTTAGTCAGCGTACTGCAGGTAGGTACTGATGATCCGGGATTAACTTACCATAGCACTAACTGTAGTCTTCTTAGTAAAGCCCGCGAAATTGCTTGATACCATAGCCATTGTCATGGGGAAATTGGCTGTAAAGGCAACACCGAGAGCACAACCCATAACGCGAGTCCACTTATGGGCTGAATCAACCTCACGCACCATCACAGCCCCAACGATGCTGACAATGACATTGAAAGTCATGAACAGTAGCCGAGTGTTTGGAAGATAAGTACTTCCAGTTACAGAGATGAGAACAAAGACCAGCTGAAAGACAGATGGCAGGATATTGAGAAGGAGCGTCTTCAGCACAGAAAAGCCAAAGCCCTGGATAACAATAGTATTGAACTGTATAGCTGTGAGTCGCTGGACACTCAAGGCGCAAGAGTATGACTTACCGTTAGAAGTCCATTGTTGGGGATGACTGAAGCGAGATAACTGACCACGAGGAGCCAGGCGTTTGGATCGCAAAGTGCCTCCATAACCTGCTCCCTCTTCCACTTGTCATTCTTGATGCCAGTCATGTTTGTCTCAACACGAGCGACGGCTTGAGCTCTCTCGTATTTGGTCAGGAAATGAGCATTTGCGGGCGTGTCGGGGAGAAAAAGTAAAACCATGATGGAAACAGCTATTGTCAATGCTCCAAAGCAGATGAAGATGGCCTCAAAGAAGTTAGCATAAGAAATTAGCCCCATGATCTTGTTCCCTTACCTTCCAAGGAGAAAAGGTGTTGATTTCACCAAAGCCATAACTGATAAGGCCACCAAGGATACCTGCAGACGTGTTTCCGAGGAACCAAGCACCTTGGCGTAATGGCTGCTCTGATCTTTTGTACCACATCGCCACAATCATAGAAAGACCGGGAGCAATCGCAGTCTCAGCCACACCGAGAAAGAAACGAATTGCAAGTAGATCTTTGGCGTTGCGACAAAGAGCCGTGAACATCAAGATGGCTCCCCAGATAAACCTAGGAGTGGCGGTCAGAGAATGCTGCCTTTGGGTAGACCGAACAGAGATACTCACACGGTAACAGCGATGACCTTTGCGATGGGCAATCGAACAAGCAATACACCAGCAATGGGATATGTTGCGACGAGGAACCCAAAGTAATAGATCGCAGATGCCCAGCCATATTCTTCTCCTTTGAGGTTGAGATCTTCGCGAAGTCCGAGAATTGCTGTGTAGCTAAGTGCAGTCTTGTCTAGGAACTGGAAGAGGTAGGCAAATGCCATGATAGGAAGCAGACTGTTTCATTCATTAATTCTCGTCTTGATAATTGCTTTTATCGGTTATGGGTGCATACTGAAGATCTGCTTTCCGCAAGATTCTTCGATCCTCCTCTGGTGTTAGATCACGACTCAGGATGGCTCCATTGGCAACTGAGGCAAGGTCTGTTTTGTCGAGCTCCTTGTCTTCAAGCTTGATGTCAATGGTCTCTGATGCGTCTTTGATGGCCATTGTTGCAGATTGATTGCCCAACGTTGAAGCCAGACTTAGTCTTGGCAGGTGGTTTGATGTCGATAACTTATTGGATGATGTAGAACGGAAAGGGGGGGGAAGAGTCTTCTTAAGTGCTCCATATCGAACTTATCACAGGTTGAGCTGACGTTGACGAAGCAGGGAGAAGCCATTTGCAACAGAAACAACCGAATACCACATGAGCTATCACCATGGCTTGGGAAGCTGAGATAAACTAGCCACATTGGTTCTGATAGCCGACGAGAAAGTGCGGGGTAGCCGATGAGAGATCTGGGGCATCATACCTTATTGATAGAGTTTTATCACTAGACTTCAGATGGGAAATGGTGGAGGATCCGCGGAACGAGGCCGAGGGGTTCCGATGGCGGCCACCTTCCCTGTAGACAGGGGAGGGGATACTATCAACGGGAGATAAGGCGGGGGAGGGTACGTGGGTAGCATGGGATCGATCAGGTACACAATAGCGAGCTTTCATCCTGCTTTCACAGATAGGCCAATTCCCGATTGAGCGATAAGAGCGATTTACCTCGGGAACAATGTATACAGACGCATGGTGAAGGAGATCGAATCTCGCAAGCGTCTCTGTAATTGAGAATATCGAAGCTTAGATTTACTCCTTAATAACCCTTACATTAGGCACAAGCATATTGAAGTGGCCTGATTCGAGAACGCTGTCCGTAAATCGATGCTTGTTCTGGACTCTGGCTTCATTTTTGAAACCCTCTCCAGGAAGTCACCTGCGCGCGCAAAATGCTCTCCAAACTGGGCTAAACCTTTGAATCTCTCAAGAATCCATGAAACATGGAGCTCCTCATCAGTCTCTAATGCCACCATGAATAGTGGACGGGCAATCCGAACCATGGCCACGTCTCCTCCGTGTTGGTAAGCTTGGAAAGCTAGATTCATGATATTACGGATTGTTTTGCTGTTGTTAAGTTCTAACTCGAGCGGAGGGTGTATGTTCCGGGCAATGCGAAGAAAGTCGAGCACCTCGGTGTAGTATATAGGCACTATCCAACGTATAGTCGCTACCATGGAGTGAGAGTTATCAGTGGCTGAAGTCAGCCGTGACGCGAAGTCAAGGATGTTCTGGTGCGTCTCACTCGTGTTGTGGATGGCAATCTCAACTTTCTCGGCTGCTTTAACTAGAGCTGAACCGCCAACGGCTTGAAGACTCGTCATCTCTGATATGAGATACCGCAGCTGAACACTAGCCCCCAGCAGTTCAAATACTTGCTGGTTCTCTAGATCATCCACTAGCTCTACTGCGGGGTAGTCATCACCCCAAACCAAACGGTAGAGCGGCCCAGAGTACGCGTGGAGACTGGACAGTCTCTTGATTGGACCAGTCGGCAAACTGTTCTTGTCATCACTTTCCGGTAAGCTTCTGCAAAGCACTTTGGTGACTTGCCCGCCAAGGCCAAAAGACGCTGCGGTGGCGTCCATCCCGCAGATTCTTGTTATCAACCGAGCGCAAAATTGGGATAGGTGTCGAGGACTTCCTGACCGAGCTGTCTTCATCAATGGCACTGACTGGCTTGTATCCCTGACCCGCTGCAAGATATCGGCGTAGTGATGCTTGAAGATAAGTGCTGCCCCATTCAGATGGCTTGCTAATCCCTTGCATCTATTGTCGCCATGGAGTTGTTCATACATAATCATGAGGACCAACCCACTCGTCAGTGAATCAAGATTGGCTGACTCGGCTGTTTCCTTGTCGCCCAAGATGGTATGTAGTTCTCGCAATGCCTCGGAATAGTGCTTGAGTCCAAGTGTTCGGTATTTTGAGGGGCCATCTTCTGAACGTCCTGTTGATACACGATACCGTCTATCACGCCACTGGTGCCTGTAATCAATACCGCAGCCTCCAATCGCAAGGATCATGTGTAATACAAGAGGGTCATGTGTAGCAAGGCGTAACATGATCGCAAATGCAGAGTATTGTGGCTTCTTCATGATGTATAGCGGCGAAAATGACTCTCGGAAGTACTGTATCGCTTCAATCTCTTCACTGCCGAGTTCCATCCCGTAAGTGCCCCATTGGAAAGGCATGCTCAACGAGGGGGATATTGAGGAGGACGTCCCCTCACTTTCAGGCCGAGGATTGCCACAAGAAGACTTGTCTGGTACATCTCCACGAGGTTTCGGCTCAACGCGAGAGAAGTCGAGGCTTGAGTGGACAAACGTTCCAGCTGGGGACCCTTTAGGAAAGGTGCGGAGCCGGGGTGCATAATCGCAGCTGAGCTTGAGGCGTATGCATCGTCGGCAAACAGGCCGTATTTCATCGCATTTGACCTTTTTGCTTCGGCATGTCCAACAACCGCTCCGGGATCTCGGAGCTGATCGACCTAGTGGCGTTGGTGATGTTGCTTCGCGGGGTGATAGCGACATGATTATTTCCGCTATTGGCGCAATAGCCGACAGCCGATGCTGAGAGACCAAATAAGCAATATTAAACGAGATATGAGGAATCGTAAGATGTACCAACGGGGAAGTAGATGTCTGATTGAAGTTGGAACGTGAGGAGGCCCTTACTCTGTACTTATGAGACTCATCGGCAAATTTAGTGGAGATTGCTATCTTTCGTCGGCTACACGTCCAGAAAGGGTTTGGCGCGTTACCCCAAGTCTGGAGATCCTCTTCGCCAACTTGAAACAGCTTGGGATTGGGTTCAGTGGCTTGGCATCACTTGCGTCGTTAGTTGCTGAGATGTAGCGGCGGATTGGTAGCTCCCTGGGTCTACCCGGGCCGCGTAGAGGTATTCAAGGCTCCTCGGAGCATGCCCACATTGGTCTGCGAGTTCAAAGTAGTATATAACAATGCATGTCATGTGAGAAGCACCCAACTGCGATGTGTCGCTTGGAACATACTTGCATCCCCTCAGACAAAACGATGGTGATTGATTCAACTTCCTCAACTGGCCGGTTTGCGCCAACATATTACGATGCAGTGCCTCTCGAGAAGGTAGGTATCATTGACCAGTCCAGCTCAATCATCGCTTCAACGCTGGATGCTCTCAATTCCGCCTTTCAAGAAGTCAACCTCAGCATTCACTCCCATCCCGAACTCGCATACCAAGAAGTCTTTGCACATGGCAAATTGACCGACTTCCTTGAACATCATGGTTTCCAAGTCAAACGTCACGCATGGGGACTTGATACAGCCTTTGAAGCAACATTCGGCTCTGGAGGTCGTCAAGTTGTCTTCTGCGCTGAATACGATGCACTTCCGGGCATTGGCCATGGTTGCGGCCATAATCTCATCGCTACATCTTCTCTTGCGGCCTTTGTCAGCGCTGCCCGTGCTCTGCAGATAACCAAGCTTCCTGGGCGCTTGCGTATCATTGGAACGCCTGCTGAAGAAGGTGGAGGTGGTAAAATCAAGCTCCTCGAGGCTGGGGCCTTAGATCCTCGCCAGGATATCGCGGCAGCTTTGATGTCGCATCCAACAATCTCCGGAACAAGCTCTGATGGTCTGGTGTACGATGGAATAGCTGGAACGAGAAGCATTGCGGCATACAAAACCAAGGTCATCTTCAAGGGCCGAGCATCACATGCGGGCGCGGAACCATGGAATGGAATCAACGCGTTAGACGCTGCTGTTGCTGCATATGTCAATGTGTCCATGTTACGACAACAAATTAGACCCGACGAGAGAGTGCACGGTGTATTCGAAGATGGTGGCACAGTCCCCAACATTATCCCCCAGTATACTCGAATGAACTGGTGCATTCGCAGTCCTACGCTGGTTGGGTGCCAAAACCTCGTCAAGAGAGTGCATGCTTGCTTCGAGGCTGGAGCTGCTGCAGCGAATTGCAAAGTCGAGTATGAGACGTGAGTTTCACTGCTTTTATCCGCCATTACCGTACTGACAACAAGACTCTAGAGCTCCATTATACAGTGACCTGCGAGTCAACAACACCCTTTCAAAGACTTACGTCGAGGAAATGGCCAAGCTGGGACTGAAGATAAAGCCAGAAGAGAACATCCCTGCTTCAACGGACATGGGTAACGTTTCGTACCACGTTCCGGGCTTCCATGGTGGATTCGCTATCCCTACTACCCCTGATGTATCTATACACCATCCAGACTTTACTACGTGTGCTGGAAAGGAGGGTGCTCACAAAGCAGCTATGAGTTGCGCCAGGGGGCTTGCAATGACAGCAATTCGAGTGCTGGCAGATGAGGGGTTGTCACAACGCGTCAGAAATGACTTTGAAAGGGCTTCCTAGAGGATCATTGTATTTAAGCTCTTTAGATATATCTAATATGGCATTACTCAAAAACAAAAGTTACATCCAAGTGGGCTATCATATTAAATATCTTCCGATATGAAACTGTTCAAGTCGAATAATAAGACCTCCTTCATCAGCTTTACTTACTATTAGGAGTTTGCCTTGTTATTACACTTCTGAATAAGAATAAAGTCAAATGGATATAACTTGTGATATATGATGGGCATAGCTACAGGGTTGTTTCACTAGACAGCGTTGATCTCCAGCAGTTCGTATTGCGCTTGGGCATTTCTGCTTCAGTTGCCTCGGTTCGGATGTCGGCATGTCTAAACTAGCCCTATGTTCCAGACTGACACTTATTCACCCTATCATCGACTGGCATGCGCTTGACGATCAACGTGACTCGTTGGACGGTCTATAAATGGAATGAAAGTTACGGTTGCCCAAGCGATGACTTGGTTGAGAATTAAGCTCATAACTGTGTCAAAAGTCTTTCTTTGTAGTTTAACTGTTTATTAACTGCTAATCTTTCTCGAAGCCATAGATATAATGTGTAATTTTCCGGCTTGCAACCTTGACTGCAGCTGGGATGTGAAAGATAAGACATCACTCCATTCTCACTGTTTGTTTTTTTGACGTAACTGTCTCTCCTGCTCCAGCGAGATCACGGCACTTCGCTGGGTGTTCCTGAGACAATACATATTAGTGGCTAACGCCACAAAGCCTACAGCCCTCCCTTTGCGATTCCTGCGGCGTGATTGGCCAGGTGTCTCATCTCCCTTAACTAGAGGAATGCGTCTTGCCTAGCGACTTCGTATAAATACGAGCAAAGTCTATACGACAAAAGGACCTTCGTGACTGAGTAGAATGCGGGGGAGGAATTGTGATGACACAGATGTTATTTTAAATTGCCAACACGAGAGCCACTAACAATGAGACACAGCGCGTTCTTTTATAAATACCAATGACTGTATAGCCTTGCCAAGTATTTCCTTCCTCTACTCTCACCACCATCACTTTCAAGCACGTAAAGACAATCGTTCCTCCATCAAAATGGTTTCCAACACTCGTTCCGTCATTTTTGGCCTGTTGCTCAGTGCCGCGCAGCTCTCAAGCGCTTCACCAGCTGCTGCCTCTGACACTGCTTTCTCATCTCCTATCTATCCAACAGCCACTGACTCCATTCCTCCTCTTCCCTCCTCTACCGACGAATGTCTTGCGAAATGTAACGACGCTCGCGATAAGTGCAACACTGCACCTGACGCAAACCACGCAACTTGCGCTGCCAACTACGCCGAGTGCGTCGGCTACTACCCATATGACAAGAAGGGAACATATGTCCCTCCTGCTGCTTGCTCCCACTCTTCCAAGCCTACTGCCACAGAGACAGCTAAGGCTGATGAGTGTGTCGAGAAGTGCGACAAGGCTCACGATGCATGCAACACGGCACCCGATGCCAACCATGCAACCTGCGCTGCTCAGTATGCCGAGTGTCTTGGGTACAACCCTTACGATAGCGGATCTCTTGTTGCCCCTACAGCCTGCTCCCACTCCGCCAAGCCTACCGGCACCCATAGTGCCACCGCCACTGCATCTGCACATGCTGATGATTGCCTCGAGAAGTGCAACAAGGCTCACGATGCATGCAATGTAGCACCTGATGCCAACCACGCTACCTGCGCCGCCAAGTGGGCTGAGTGCCTTGGCTACAACCCTTACGATGGCCCCGGTGGCTCTCTTGTTGAGCCCACGGCTTGCGCTGCCGCTACCACTATGGCTTCTGCTACTGGCAAACATACTGGCATGGAGACCTCCAAGCCTGCTAGCACTGAAGCTTCCAAGCCTGCCAAGTCTGAGCCTGCTGTTGTTGTCAACGGAGCTGGAAGCCTGTCGGGCAAGGTCGCTGGCTTAGCTGGCGCCATTGGCGCCGCTGCTGTTGCTCTTCTCTAAGTTCTTGTTGCTTTCCTTGAACTTATTCGTACTGTCCATGACCATGTCACAATTGGAGCCTATCTTATCCAACCCATGGCCAAGCTGGAGTAGCTGTGTACAGCCATGCCGATGAGATACCACCTGGCTCAAGATTGGACGAAGGTCTTTAATATTAGCTTAGACAAATTATAAATCTAATTCAATTTTTTATTTTCTTACTTTATTAGTCCTTTAACACAATCCGAGCTTTATATATCTGAAACTCAAGTAAATGGCACTGAGCGACAATGTCGAGGCGATCACGGCCTATTGTTATACCCCGGATGACAGGGTGAACGTCATGGATAACTAGCAAAAGACCAAGAGTATCTGAATTGGTTGACAAGGAATATTCTAACTACAGCTGTTGCTATCTCTTCATGATAGCCTACTTATATTCCAAAGTCGACAGTTTGCGATTATTGGACCTTCGGAGCTGGGCTGTTGTAGGCTTCCATATGCGAAAGATCCCAGAACGGCAATAACGAACGAGGAAAAGGTTATCTGACTGACTAGGTTGCATCATGCAAGGCATAATGTTGTCTGATAAACGTCTTTGATTGACATGTCGTTCAAAGTCATCGAAATACCCTATGTTGACTCGGAACTCGGAACGCCTCTTGGGAGAATTCCGAGGTGGGTCTTTGTTTCGTCAAAGGAAGGGCGGAGACTGGCTGCCCATCGCAAATGTGGCGACATGCTAATACCATTATCTGGGGAGATTGTTCAAACAGACTTTTCCTGAAGCGGAATTTCCATACGGTGACTGGACCAGAGTTCATTGGCGTTACGTGGCCACGCTCCCCCACCTTTCGTGGCAATATCGGAAACAAGCGCGATATTTTGAAGTCTCTGTTGAATGATATATAAATGCAACCTCATACAGGCACAACTACTACTCGACATCCCATTTCAAGGCAGCATTCATTTAGACACTCACATAGACGCAATGGACTCTGCACAGTTTCGCGAGGCAGCTCGTACAGCCATTGATGAGAGTAAGTTTTCTAGGATCAAATCAATAACCCCTGTTGTTAACCATATACAGTCACTGACTATTATGACAATGTCTCCTCGCAGCGTGTCGTATCCGACGTGAAGCCAGGCTATCTTCGACCTTTGCTCCCATCCTCAGCCCCTCTTGAAGGAGAGTCCTGGACTGACATCCATGCTGACATCGAGTCTAAAATCCTTCCCGGAATCACCCATTGGGCCAACCCCCGTTTCATGGCCTTCTTTCCATGCTCAAGCAGTTACCCTGCCGCACTAGCTGAAATGTACTCGAATACCTTCAATGGCGCCCATTTCAACTGGATTTGC